TTCTGCATAGCCAGGGTCCACACAGCTTTAATTTGGTATTTGTGTGTTTGTTTGTTTGTTTGTTTGTTTGTGTCACGCCTGGCGCTATCCGTATCTGATGGCAAAAAGCATAGGATGTTATAAATTTTTCAATTCTCCTAATTTGTTGGCATATCCTGGGATTCGAACCCGCACTATCGACTTACTTCGAAGTACATGCATTCCCCCATACACTTCGCATTCATACCCATTCTTCGAAGTTGCTTCACGTTATTATCTTGCGTTTGAAAGCCGTATTTGAATATTGCGGGCAGCTGTATGTGGCCAGCTGTGTTCTATGGTAGGGTACGGTATGGGAGACGGTGTCGTATTACCCTCGATCGTACCTGTCCCGTACCTATCCCCTACCGTACCGTGCCATCAAAGACGGCTGGCCACATACAGCTGTCCGCAATATTCAAATAGGGCTTTCAAATGCAAGATCACAATGTGAAACCACTTGGAAGAATTAGTATGTATGCGAAGTGTATCGGGGATGCATGCAGAGCGCGCAATAGTGCGGGTTCGACTCCCTGGTTATGTCTTTAAAAAAAGGATTTTTTTAAAGAATTTATAACATCCCTATGCTTTTTTTTGTCTAGGTCATCAAGGCAAAAAAAGCATAGCGTAGGGCCCTGAGCTTCCAAGCTCTCCCGTATTTATTTCTGCACCTCGTCTCTCCCGTATTTATTTCTGCACCTCGTGGCATGCCAAGACAGCCAATTGAATTGAGGAGAGGGTGAGAACAACCACGGAAGAAGAGACAAAAGAAAATGAAGAGCACGTACACAAAGTGGGAAGGGATTAGCAACTTACAAAGCAATGGGATGCTCAGCGAGCTATGCAGCGGAAGTGGTGACTGTGATTTTGTTTACTTAGAGATACTGAAGTGCTGTCTGACGAGGGTACGGAATTTGGGCATATCTGGAGCTTGTCTAACACTGGGAGGCAGTTGGAGCCATGTCGAGTAGGAGGAAAAGAAAGGGGAATTTACTAATAGGGTAGACCTAGCCAGGTGGAGAAGAATGCAGCTTCGGGTGGTGCCAGCTGACTTACACCAATTAAGGGACTGTATATGAGCAGGGTGCTGGTCAAGAAAAATTGAATGTGCCAGGGTGCACTTGGAAGCATCAAGGTAGTGTTGCAGAGTGGTAGTGGATGCAGCAGCATACAAGTCTAGATTTGAGATAAAACGATCAGTACGAAATATGATGCGCAGTATACGGCGATGGAGAACTTCTAATTTACCTATGTGGGTTTTGTTAATGGCGGTCCAGGCAGGGAAGCCGTACGTTAAGAGGGGAAGAATGTATGATTTATAAAATTCAATCCGGCAATTTTGGGGCAAATGGGACAAGTGATTTGACATTATGCCGACAGATCGGCATACTTTGGACGACACATGATCAGCATGGTGAGACCAGGAGAGGGCCGAATCTATGACAAGGCCAAGGTGTTTATGGTGGGGCGGTACAGAGATAGGGTGACCGGGATCATGGGGAAAGTGGAAGATGGGCACTGGATCTGTGGGAGGGGAAAAAGGAGGAGCTCAGTTTTGGTCACATTTTGCTTAAGGTACCAAGTGCTCATCCAGTGAACAATGTCGTTGATACAGGTCTGAACTTTGGTGTACAGGGTGGCGTGAGATGGTCAGGAATAGGCCTTGACAGATTATGCTTTAATTGCAGAATTATGCTATTTTTATGCTAAAAGTTATCATATTATGCCGCATTATGCTCACATATGCTGCTAATGTATAATGGTTCTGTGCAAAATAACAGGGGAATTTTTTTGTAGAGGGCGTTGTACTATAGTGGCAAACGTTCAACGGGGTCAACGCACCGGCCGACCTAGCTACGACCATCACTGATTGTAGTGGACTGGACATGTTATCAAGGGAGTCGTAAACCTACAACTTCCTAGTGCATCTACTTGTACTTGTACTTGTAGAACATGTACAACTGTATGGAATTTGATGCGAACAGGCGGATTATTCCAATTTTATGCGATTCGTATGCAATTTGCCTCGAATTATGCGATTATTTGATTTTGGTAGGAATTAAGCGAAAAATTATGCTAGCATAATCTGTCAAGGCCTAGCCAGGAAGCAAGGACAGTGGTATCATCTGCAAACAAAGAAATATTGGGAATTGCATAGGGGAGGTCATTTACGTATGTGAGGAAGAGCAGGGGACCTAAAATGGAGCCCTGGGGCACTCCGGATGTCACAGACTCGGGGTAAGATAAGGTTCCATTCACTGTGACGCACTGATTTCGGTCCAAGAGGTAGCTAGTTATCCAGGCGAGTAGGGAGCCGGAGACACCATAGGCACGAAGTTTGGCCATCAGGCCCTTGTACATGGTACATGGTACATGGTTTGTGTGTGTTTCACCTAGTTCGGTTGGTATGTACACGCTAAAAAGTCAGATAGTGTTGGGTTTGTTCCCAAAGGGCTCGGCTGCTTGAACGTGTAATGTTCTACCTATCACCGGTGCTGCCACTTTTCCATATTTTTCCGTATTGGTACGGAAAATCACTCCTTCGTCCGCACTACGGAATTCTAGAAGAATGGTACCTAAAATTGAAGAGGCCTATCGATCAGCTACATGTCTGTACGTAGAAGCATGGCAAGCGCAAGCTTAGTGACGAATAACCCTGTACCAAAGCGAGAAACAGCACTGTTAATTAGCCTGGCCATAATAATACGCCTACCCCTGACATGCTTGCCTGCCTACTCATTTGCACGCATGCATTCTTGCCGGAAATGTGGCGACAATAATTTATTCATGGACTGATCTTCTTTTTTAGTGTTTGCACACTCTTGGCTGCTGCTGTGGCACTTTTGTATTTTCGTGCTGCTGCGCTCTGTACTGCTGCACTAGCCGTATTAACTGTCGTACCCAGATGCACACATTCAGTCCCTGGCTACGCTTTGGAATTGTTTTCGTTGCCTATGTCCTCATCTCTCTTCGTTTTGTTTTCGCTGCGTGGGCTCTCATTTATCTTTGCTTGCTTGCTTGTATTGCTGAGGGTACATATGCTGGTTTGTATTCGTGGGTCCCCATGGTGCATGGGTCACGCGTACTCATCCAGCGGATATGTGTGAATAATAATATTAATACAGCGAGTGCATGCTTTGAAGCCCATCATGTTGATCGTCTCACTGTTCTTTCCAGATTGCACCTCTCGGTTTGGGGATGTGCATTGAAGCACCCCATACTAACGGTCTATACTGTCCTCTCTTGGTCACCACTCTCCCTATTACCTATATTGTAATTACCATTCATGTATTGCGCTTCAGATTTTCTTCCGTTTTGTCTATCAACAAAGAAGTGTATTGCCACCCAGTTGTCTATGCAACATCACAAGGAGAAGAGGACTATAAAAGTAAAGGAAGTAGAGCAGCAAAATAATCAGGCAACATTTTTTCACGCTCATCGCAAATAGAGCTAGGGAATGCTGAAGACGCTGCAAGACGGAGACAACTTGCTGGCTGCGCATTCCGGCCCATATACCTCATCTGGTTCCGACGAGGCGAAATCAGCGAGCGTCTCAGGCTGCGACTGTATGAGGCGTACATCATACCTGTCCTCATGTACAAAGTGGCACCTGGGGTCTTTCCAAAACTGAAATGGTTTGAATGGACAGTTTCCACCGACGACAGCTACGCTCAATCATTGACATGCATCATCCCCGGCACATATCGAATGAGACCCTGTACAGGAGGTGCAAAACCCAGCCATTAAGCGTCACCATCAACCGCCTGCGGATCGGACTCCTTGGGCACGTTCTGCGCTCACCAGTCGACACCCCGGCACAACTCGCTATGGGTGCGTACTTCCGCCGGGCCAGTGACCCGGCTGCACAACGCTTCCGCGGCCGGCCGCGTACCACCCTTGCAACCACCGTCATCGCCGACCTGACCAGCCATGGTATTCCCACCCGGACGCAGACCGATCTTGAGACCTGGCGCACCAGAGCCCAAGACAAAAAAGGCTGGCGCACCCTGAAGGCAACTTGCCAGAAGCAAACTGTTCAAACCACTCCACACCGAATATTCAGAAATGACGAGACAACTCACCAGCTATTATCAATGAACTAATAATTTTCACCTTTCTGTAGTGCATCCAATTGATCACAGCTATTCTGCTCTACAGCATTGTTCCTCAAGATGGTGAGCTTTCTGTTTGTCTTTCTCTTTATCATCATCCTGAATGGCACAAGTGAAGTAGGCATCCCCGCTTACAGCGCGATAGTGCTTATAATAATAATAATCGCAAATAGAAGGGATGTGTGTGCATGTACTTGTGTGTAAATGCGTGTGTGTATGGGCCCATGGTGCACATATGTGTGCATGTACTTGTGTGTAAATGCGTGTGTGTATGGGCCCATGGTGCACATATGTGTGCATGTACTTGTGTGTAAATGCGTGTGTGTATGGGCCCATGGTGCACATATGTGTGCATGTACTTGTGTGTAAATGCGTGTGTGTATGGCCCATGGTGCACATATGTGTGCATGTGCGTGCACTCGTTTGTTTGAATATTGTGTTCACATGCTTACATTGTATTCTCCATAACAGTATTCTCTGAGCAGTTCAAGCAAAACTATTAACAAAATGGGATCATCGAAAAAGTTTGCAGAAGCCCACGAAACTAACAGAGTGATTTTCGGGCAAGATCACCCATTCCTCCCCCCCCCCCCATGAACATATTTTTGCAATTCAGGTTTCACACCCTGCATGTATGTGTACATGTGTGCTTTGCAATTTTCAAGTGCAAGCCCCTCCCTCCCCATCCCAGAACCAATTATGTTCGTTTTGTAGGCTTCTGGAATTCTGTTAAATTTTGCAATGGTCCCTAAGAAAGACAAAAACAGAAACAGTGACGTGTTTACACCACTCTCTGTTCGTATCACTAATACTCTTAACACTATACATATATGTATCTATGTGTCGGCTGATGTTCAATTAACCAGGCAACACCGAAACTGTTACCCAGGCAACACTGAAACTGTTACGCAGGCAACAACGGAATTGTTACCCAGGCAACATGAAGACATCTGCTACTAAGCTCTTGCTTTTTGCTCTGTGTCTACTGGGAAGTGTGATATGCATAGCCGGTGTTGGTAAGCTATATGTTTTATTAAGCCATGGTAAAGATTATCTTTGATTCTCAAGTACGCGCACACCGATTTTTGGCGGTCAAGCTAGGACAGCAATGCTGCCATGACTGCACTGCTACTAGAAAGTTTGTGGCCAGTACTGCCGAAAGCATGTATACCTGGTGATGATGAATGGGGATAACGGACTGACACGGAGGCATAATGATGTCTGGTACCAATGTTTGTGCTACGATGCTGGGTTCATGTAGCAGTACCTATGGAGTGACAGTTTATTGATAGAAGGGAGTAGTGGGGATGTGGTTGCATGGCGAAGTGGTGTTAGGCTCCCTGCCCTGCACACTGCATTTGGCGGAAAAAGTAAGAAGTAGTGAAAACGTTTTCAGCGGACCACGGACGGGTACTTATACAAGGTTGCGTTTTAGCTTTTATGTATTCCTGCTCTTTCGAGCACGCATTGAGCAACTTCTTTTATGTATTCCTGCTCTTTCGAGTACACATTGAGCAACTTCTTTTATGTATTCCTGCTCTTTCGAGTACACATTGAGCAACTTCTTTTATGTATTCCTGCTCTTTCAAATACACATTGAGCAACTTCTTTTATGTTTTCCTGCTCTTTTGAGTACACATTGAGCAACTTCTTTTATGTATTCCTGCTCTTTCTGATACACATTGAGCAACTTCTTTCTGTGTTTTCAAACTTTTGCTGTTTTGGCGGTGTGTGGATTTCTGTCGGCGTCCTATTTCCTGCTTCAGCTTTCCAGGGGAATTTTTGGGTGCAAACTCTTTTTGTTCAGGCCGTAGAAGACTGTACTGTAGTTCTTTTTTGCTGAGCGTGACACGATGCAAAGCAATCCACATCTGTTTTTCACAGTACCGTTCCGCAACAGCATGGCGAACATTGTCGGTAGCTTGAAAATTGATCATCTGTGATCGATCGCCTTGAAAATTTCAAACGTCAAGGACAGAAAATAGACCGCCATCGGATGATATCAGTAGCTTTTGGAGGTTCTGCAACATCAGTAATCATGGCGACAACAATTCTACGTAGCCTCCATCTCCTTGCCGGAGTCAGCCTGAGGTTCATGGGTATGGGTACAACATGAGCGACACTTAACGAAGTCAACGACGACAAACAGAAAGCATTCATTCTGAGGAGAGCATTTTTGTACCGTATCTTTTGAATTGCCAGTGATTTTCTTCAGGCATTGAACACGTAAAAAGCACATCCCTGGTCAGTGTGCAACTGCACTTGAACAGGTTTGCGCATACGCAGTGTATGCGCAAGTTGGTTGCGTTCACATGTACGTAGTGTGCTAGGGGCCTACACACCGTAAATTAAATTTCACGGTTCGCGTGAGACTCGGCTAGAAGTTGAGTTTTCCGCATCCGCCGTGGGAACGCCACCACCCTCTAGGATCAAGGCGCAAATTCAACTCCTAAAGCGATGGGAGGTGAGAAGATCAGACCCACCACAAAGTGGTCAAAGACCAAAATCCCATTAACTGCATCCATGGGGGGGGGGGGGGGGCAGTACGGTTTGGTTGAGAAGCACCATGCACATAAGGTGGAAGAATGGCGAGGCAGTAGTAAGCCATGAACGGAGACCCCCTCGACTTAGGCCTCGGCCTTTGGGGAATCCATAAATAATAATAAAAAAAACTGAAAACCCCATGTACGAGGTGATTATGCATTTTTAAGCATGATTGTAAAATCGTACAATATCGGGGTGTCAGTGCGCATGTGTATACATTTTTTGGCCTCACTCAGAAGATGATCCCTTTCTTTCTATCTTCACCAAGTTTCAACTGAATATGACTATCATAACGCCCCAAGGAATGGATTACATTTGGGTTGATATGATGCTATGAATATGAAGGTTTTAGATTCTAAGCATTGTGTAAAATGACTATGTTTAGTGTTATTTCATCGCATTCTTCCATTCTACACACATACATGTACATGCTAGAACAGTGACAAGTACTAATGCCAAAAAATCAAAGTCTTCCGCAAGCAATTAGAGCCCTAAGGAAGTGGCTTCCCAGCATCCACTGAAACCAAAAAGTTTTAAAGAACCACAACATGTGCATTACAATTGAAATAGAGCATGGCCCGGGTCTGGCAACACCATAGAAGCATGATTACTTGAAGATCATAGTAGCGTGTGGACTATGAACAGAACAATGAACCGGAATAAATAAGAAGAGGATTATTCAATGAATTATTACAGTACTGGATGTCAAGCACCGGCGAAGACACTGGGAACAGAAGATTTAGCAACAACAGGAACAACAACAATGACAACAACAACAATGGTAACAAATTACCATCAAGATCAAAGGAGGAGTCAACCAACAGAGGTTCAGCAGCGTGAAGCGAGCCTGGGACCGATCGGTGGTGATGAGGAGAATGACACGGAGGACGACACTGAGGACGAGTTGGAAGATGAGACGGGGGACGAGGTTGCGGTTGGTGGAGACGAGGAATCGGATGGTGATTTGATCGTAAGAAGTCTGCCGTTTTTCTTCATCTGTTGTCTCACCCTAAGTGTCTGCAGGTGTATGATGATTTTAGGTTTTCTGTTCTTTGTCGTGCACGGTACGCTAGTCAGTTGAAAGTACTTGAGGCTGTTTGTATTCGTTTGCATAAGCCTGATCTTTGTAAGCAGAAGAAACATGTAGCTGCGTTAAGATTGTTTTCGTAGGTGCACAGCATGATTGTTTGTCTCACTACACAGTTCTAGCGTTGCAATTAGTTCCTCACCCCTGTTGCACTTAGCTCTCACTTTACTTCTATTGTCTCACCTTCCCTCATTCTATTTTTAGCACTTTGTTTTGTTCTCGTAACACATTATTGAATGTATATAAATTATTGATTTGGCATGGTTATTCTTCAGTCACGGCTTTCCACTGATGATTGTGACAAGAAAATCGATTTTGGTAAACCTTCATGACTTTGTTGTAGTGTGGCGATGACAGCAGAATTTGTTCTCTTTATAGCTATTATAAAACTGTTGTCTCCGCGTCGATTATTTAAGTAAATAAGAAAGAAGAAGAAATTGTCCGAAGGGCCTCCAGGAGAACGTGTCCAAACCTGCGCCACACATGGTCATCAGCTCAACTGGATCCACTGGATGATGGTGGGTTTCCTCTTGGTGTCGGCCGAGCAGCATATCCAGTGGTAGCCTGGGTCCGCTGTAATTGCTGGGCCGTGGGAGTCTAGGCTGCATCAGGAAGGCTGGTCGAGGTGAAACAGCCACCGTTGCCCTGGGTAGTGGAGTTGAAACACTCCTAGGCCAGAAGAATGTACCAGGGGATGTTGATGGCGACATGGTGGCCGCCGGGGACGGGAGACTGCTGATGGTCGTGGTTGTTGACGCTGACGCTGGGGAACATGACACTGGGATTTCGTAGAAGAGGTTGACAAGCTCTCGTATATTCTTGTCTTGCTTCTCCAGGTCATCGCTCGTTATTATTATTAATTCAACATCTCCTGGCTCGTCAGAAGACTGCCAATATATATGAAAAGTTATAGGAGAATAGAATGCTCTGACAGCGAGCGTTGCTTGCTTGCTAGCTGAATCTGTGCTGGGTTCATCCGGCTCAATATTTGATGCCATATCTGTATCAGAAGTCGTTTTATGGCTTTCTTCTCCATTAGTAGATCCAGTGCTGTCGCTACTACTGCTATTACATGAACTTTCTGGGCCTGGTTCGGCAGGCTCCTCACAAACGGGATCCATAAAAGGGCGATTTTACATTATTTCTGCTACTGAAGCGATCGCGAAGAGCAACAAACTGCTCTAAAATAAAGACAAACCTAGTCTTCTTGAACAAAACACATGCTGGGAAAGGAAGATGAAGACCGAGGGAAGTCTCTCACTGTGCTATATTTGGAATATTGTACCGCATGCATTGGATATATACGAGACGGTTTGCTGATTTTACGCATTTGCTTAGAAACGAAAAATGCTTAGAAATGCATAATCACCTCGTACATGTGTGTGTGTGTGTATGCGGGGTTGAGAAGACACTAATGTGTCCGCACAAAGCGAAAGGTAGTGTCAGAAACGGCCGAGTTCACACTCCGGTGCCAATTACTTGAATGCAGGAGGAATTTTGGACTGCCTCTCTGTCTTTCTCAGTCTCTCTCCATGTCTCTCACATTTCTCTCTCTCAATCTCTCTGTCTGTCACTCGCTCTCCATCTCAGTGTATATGTATGCGTACACCTTCCCGTACAGGTATCGATAGGCACATTGCTACCCGTACCTTCGTGGAAAATGGGACCGTGTTGTCAACATTTACACTGGAAAAGGCCCACGTGAGAACACACTCTGTAGATCCGGGTTATGCTATACAACAGACAGGCCATCCAAACATGGTTGACCTAGTTACAACTAAGGATGTTGCTGTGAACAGCAAGATAACCATTATAGCACTGGTATACGATGCAGATACTCTCTACACCTTTCAACTCATCTTGATTTCCCGTGCTGCACCCGTTGTGACACAAGAGAGATTGTCCGTACCCCTGTCTCGGCTTTTCCTGGATGGGATTTCCATCAGCACAAATCTATCCAAGCCGGCAACACTCATTCGTAACGTGAGTGTGTTGCTTAGCAACCCAGCACTTCAAAATGTAACAGTTACAGCCATGGGAAAGGATGTCAAGATGAAATGGGAGCTACCAAGTACTGACCTACAACTGGACAATCCGTTCACTGTCAACGTCATTGTTGAGGATAATGCTGAAGGACTAAGGTTTCCTGACAGCACTGGCATGTATAACATCACTGCCCTTCGTAATGGAGTGTCCTCATCAAATGTCACCGTCTTTGTGGAAGGTGAGTTCAGAACAACAGGGGCAATTCTTAGAACACGGAAGAATGGCTCATGGTCTATGCAACTTGTGATGGCAGCTTTGATCCAATGATAACTAGACAGCGATGCCTTATGTACAAATCAAAAGATCAGCCCTGCACCAAGTTTAACTGACACACCATGCTCAGGAGAAATAACCCACATGATTCAGTGTAACAGTTATCCGTGTTGTATACGTTTGCTGCGACTTCCTCATGTACACATTCCAGCATGCGGACCACATCTCTCCTCCCCACCCCACCCCACCCCCCTCCCCGCCCTCGCCCCAACACTATGTTTTCTGATGAACACACAATATGCATGAAATTACATGTAAATGTACGTTGAAAATCAACACAATTTTGCGAATCGACCTTTCTTCAGTATCACTTTTCAACGAGGACAAAGCAAAGTCGGCCAAACGGAGCCTAGAGGAAGAGGATCATCCTCTCCACTTCAACATTGTGATACTGACATAGGTACAACACGAAACAACTAAAAAAATTGAAAAGAAAAATGACCAAGGAACTGCAAGTTACGCTATAATGTCCAACTGGTGGTGTTAGTGGACTTTATGGCGTAACGTGTAGTTCCTTGGTCCTTTTTCGTTCCTATAAATTAATCCTTGGCTCTCCATCTGAGTCAACTAAAAAATACACAAGAAAACTGTACGCCCGCCGCCGCGCTGACTGTGGCCTGAGAATTTTCTTTTCCCATCAAAATGTACGAGGAGCACTTAAAAATCAGCTACAGACGTACCTTTACTCCTTTTTCGAAACACGAAAGTCGTCTCTCCACTTTCAAACCGGGAACAAAACATACTAGTGGTCCCTTTCAGCTGCTCCACGAGCGCAGGCAATGTTCACCAAGGGCCACAGAGCATCATCCATTCCGGCCAAACAGCTAAAATACAAGTAAACCTGCATGCCTGAGTACATGAGCACATGAGTGGAGTCATGCAGTAAATAGTCAATTTCAGTGTTTCTGCTCCGAACAGCAACTAACTTTGACTAGCTACAAAGTTTACATCAAAGGATCAAACAAGAACCATTTTCTTCAGTTTTTTCGGAAGAAAGCTTTTCCTTGTGCTTGGCCTAGGTCCATAATCACACCTCGGAGTGGTACAAGAATTACAACTCCCAGATATGCTCGATTGCTGGCCATGTCAATCTGTCTCTCTCTGTCTCTCTCTCTCTGCCTTTCTGTCTGTCTCTCTCTCTCCCTTTCTCTTTTTCTCTCTTTCTCTTTCTCTCTCTCTCTCTCTCTCTCTCTCTCTCTCTCTCTCTCTCTCTCTCTCTCTCTCTCTCTCTCTCTTTCTCTCTTTCTCTCTCTCTCTCCCTCTGTCTCTGACTCTCTCTCTCTCTGTCTCTCTCCCTCTTTCTTTTCTCTCTCTCTCTCTCTCTCTCTCTCTCTCTCTCTCTCTCTCCGTACAAACCGAAAATTCAAATGAGCTTGACTTCATCTCGTTTTGCAAGGCGGGAGAGAAGCCAGTTCGCGTTCAGCCCAGACGGAAGTTGGTTACGACTGATCTCCTGTCAGCGGCCTCAGACTGGAAACTTCTTGTCGACTCAGTTAGTGCAAAGATTTCTTTCCCTAGCTGTGTTGCACTTACCACCCTAAGACCAGATATAGTTCTGTACTCTACGAGTCGTAGGATTGTATTCTGGATGGAGTTGACAGTTTGTACTGAGGACAGATTCAGTGTCAGTAACTCGCGGAAGGACAGGCGGTATGCGGATCTGGCCGATCAATGCCGAGCAAACGGGTGGCAGGTCGTTTCTTTTTCGGTTGAGGTAGGTGTGCGTGGTTTCATCCCGGACTCTCTTCGGAGGGCTCTGAAAGCGCTTGGGTTTTCTAATCGAAGAATAAAATTTATTCCCGTAGCTATGCAGAAGACGTTACTTCAGTAACGTCTGGCGCTAGCCAGGGTCCACACAGCTTTAATTTGGTGTTTGTTTGTTTGTTTGTTTGTTTGTTTGTTTGTGTCACGCCTGGCTCTATCCCGTATCTGTCCCGTACCGTATCGCACAGCTGGCCATTTGCTGGCTCCCGTATCTGTCCCGTACCGTACCGTACCATCAAACACAGCTGGCTACAAACAGCTGGCCACAATATTATGTACATGTATAGGACTCCCTGTGTGTTGCAACTGTGGTTGAAGGGGACGGTTGCACTTTTTGTAGCTCCATTTTATCTGAGTTTTCAGTCGTTTCTCTTACTAGTCTTGCCAAGGAGGTGGCGCTGAGTCCACCAGAGTTGCCCCTGTCGTATTTCTGAATTTGCTGGGGCGAGGGTTCCGCGACGCGGTCGCCAAGGCAGTGTCTTTTCAGTCACAACCGTTGTCGTGCTCGTCTCTCCATTCGCGGTGGTGTAGCTGACCCCCGAATGGTTTCAAACTGCAAAGCTTGGAGGAGTACAGTGGTGGCAGAGGCATGAGCTGTGAGTGGAGACGGTTGCTGGAGATGGATGGTGATGCAGGGAGAAGAGTTACGCTGCCTGACGCCGCGTGGGAAATTGTTTGAACCTGTAATTTCAGTTCGAGCGCGGTGGACTTCTAGACGATGTGTCCTCATGGCTGTTTTTCAACACTTGGCCTATCGCTGATATCCCTGCGTGGGATGTTCTTCCAGTGGAGTCCAGGCGGGACTTCGGGTGCCCACACTCCATCACCTGGTTGATTGTTTCGGAACTGCAAAAATAATTATTGTTTCCTATTTTGTGCGCATCTCTTGTCATCTCTCTTTTCTATACGTCGCACGCCAGATGTACTACTATCGCCGTCTTTCTCTTGCTTTCTCTCCCTGCTTGCTGTTTTTTGTTTCTGTTGCCACTGTCCCTCATCATACCCATGCTTGGGTGGTGGGCGGCGTGACCCGTTCGGGTAGCTGCCAATACAGTACGACTCCCTGATGTATAGAGAGACTTTCTGGAAAGAAATAGGGAGACGAGGAGGAAATGAAATTAGAATGGATGTTAGTTGCCGAATAGGTGATACGATGCGTCAGCAAAAACATGCTTTGGAAGAGAGATCCCGTCGTCTCCAAAATAGGCGTGAACGGGCGAGTCAACGCCGGTCACAGGAAACGTCGGCAGAGAGATCCCGTCGACTCCAGAACGCGCGTGCTCGGCAGAGTCAGCGCCGTCCCAGGAAACATTTCCATCAGTTTCCACAACATGCACGATGAGCTAAGTAACAAAGCATAGCGTAGGGCCCTGAGCTTCCAAGCTCTCTCGTTTGTAATTTGTGCAGTAAGACGTCTCTGCAAAGCAGCTACATCATCTGGTTGCGACGTCAACAAAAACACTGGTCGGAAGATCCACTTTTCTGAGGTACTGTATGTGGGGCTCCGTTTATTGAGGTGCGTTGAAATTTATTCTCTTTATCTTATTATTTCTGCTTTTTATCTCATTAAAAAAATTCTGCGCATTTTTTTCTCCATCTGCGCATGAAATCTAGACTGACAACCTGCTTGTTAACTCATGCACCTGCTTTCAGGCGTAAAAACCCTGTTGTAGAGGTCTCAGTCGTCATTCGTTAGACTTACCTGTCTTTATAAATGTAACTTACTCTCTCGCTTTCTCTCTCTCTCTGTCTCTCTCTGTCTCTCTTTGTCTCTCTCTGTCTCTCTCTCTCTTTCTCTCTCTCTCTCTCTCTCTCTCTCTCTCTCTCTTTCTCTCTCTCTCTCCCTCTGTCTCTGACTCTCTCTCTCTCTGTCTCTCTCCCTCTTTCTTTTCTCTCTCTCTCTCTCTCTCTCTCTCTCTCTCTCTCTCTCCGTACAAACCGAAAATTCAAATGAGCTTGACTTCATCTCGTTTTGCAAGGCGGGAGAGAAGCCAGTTCGCGTTCAGCCCAGACGGAAGTTGGTTACGACTGATCTCCTGTCAGCGGCCTCAGACTGGAAACTTCTTGTCGACTCAGTTAGTGCAAAGATTTCTTTCCCTAGCTGTGTTGCACTTACCACCCTAAGACCAGATATAGTTCTGTACTCTACGAGTCGTAGGATTGTATTCTGGATGGAGTTGACAGTTTGTACTGAGGACAGATTCAGTGTCAGTAACTCGCGGAAGGACAGGCGGTATGCGGATCTGGCCGATCAATGCCGAGCAAACGGGTGGCAGGTCGTTTCTTTTTCGGTTGAGGTAGGTGTGCGTGGTTTCATCCCGGACTCTCTTCGGAGGGCTCTGAAAGCGCTTGGGTTTTCTAATCGAAGAATAAAATTTATTCCCGTAGCTATGCAGAAGACGTTACTTCAGTAACGTCTGGCGCTAGCCAGGGTCCACACAGCTTTAATTTGGTGTTTGTTTGTTTGTTTGTTTGTTTGTTTGTGTCACGCCTGGCTCTATCCCGTATCTGTCCCGTACCGTATCGCACAGCTGGCCATTTGCTGGCTCCCGTATCTGTCCCGTACCGTACCGTACCATCAAACACAGCTGGCTACAAACAGCTGGCCACAATATTATGTACATGTATAGGACTCCCTGTGTGTTGCAACTGTGGTTGAAGGGGACGGTTGCACTTTTTGTAGCTCCATTTTATCTGAGTTTTCAGTCGTTTCTCTTACTAGTCTTGCCAAGGAGGTGGCGCTGAGTCCACCAGAGTTGCCCCTGTCGTATTTCTGAATTTGCTGGGGCGAGGGTTCCGCGACGCGGTCGCCAAGGCAGTGTCTTTTCAGTCACAACCGTTGTCGTGCTCGTCTCTCCATTCGCGGTGGTGTAGCTGACCCCCGAATGGTTTCAAACTGCAAAGCTTGGAGGAGTACAGTGGTGGCAGAGGCATGAGCTGTGAGTGGAGACGGTTGCTGGAGATGGATGGTGATGCAGGGAGAAGAGTTACGCTGCCTGACGCCGCGTGGGAAATTGTTTGAACCTGTAATTTCAGTTCGAGCGCGGTGGACTTCTAGACGATGTGTCCTCATGGCTGTTTTTCAACACTTGGCCTATCGCTGATATCCCTGCGTGGGATGTTCTTCCAGTGGAGTCCAGGCGGGACTTCGGGTGC